CCTCCTCATATATATATATATATATATTTATTTTTATGTCAAAATCGTTATTTTCAATTTTCATGGCCTGTCATGTGGAAAGAAAGGAAACTTCATGCCTGGATCTGTAGAAGTTTACTTTTTTTTTTTTTTTTTCAAACAAAGTTTTGAAACGCTAATGCATCACAATCATTTATGCTTGGAAATACCAAAAGTATTAAGCAGGAAAGAGACCATCTCATATTGCCAGCCTCAATTATTCTATTTGGTCTTTATTTTTTCTCTGATTTAATGCACTCAGGATCTGGTTAGGGATGCACTTAAAATGAGGGTTGAAGCAAAGATGGTACAGCAAACTGCTTTTTCTAGCCCATACTATGGTATTCTCCTCGTCACCTGTATTTGTGCAGAAATTCTCACCCTGCAATCAAATGCATTATTTGGTGATTGTTCTTGGCAAAAGCATCAAATAAAGACACCAAATTCCCCCATTATGCAATTGATGCTATCACGTGGCAAATAATGACACTCTCTAAGTGATGCTGAGAAATAAGGGCAAATTTGATGGAATAGTACTCACATCATTAGCCTACCCAATACCATATTGACAGAGTTAGATAAAACTGGGTCAAATCAAGATGCTGGGGTTAAATATTTGCGTGATAGTATTCCAGGACTATGATGAAATTTTGTCATCTTTCTTTTGGGTTCCACTTTTCTATTGAGTCTTGTAGTATAACATTGTTAACATGGTCTTGGGAAGGCTAGCAACATGAGCACAATTCCATCAAATTTGCCTTTATTTGCTAGCATCATGTAGATGGCGTCCTTATTTGTCAGTAATGGAAGTTGGTGCCCTCATTTGCATAATGTGGAAGATAAGTTTTCTTATTTGATGCTTTTTCCATTTCTCTGAGTGATGCCATGAAACCTCTAGAGGGCAATTCCTAGGAATGATTCCTTTATTTATTTGCAGGTAAAGCCCTTGTAATATTACAGTCAAAAAAAGAAGTCGAGCTAGCAATTTCCAAATTAGAGGAGAATTGCCTTATGCTAGCAAATGGAAGGTATACTATTGTTTACTTCATAAGTTTCCTTGTTATCTATTGTTCTTCTCATATTCAAGATGCAAGGACTTTGGTTTCCTATTTCTTGTGTATTCTTTAGTTTCCTTTTACATGGACTCTACAACGTAAGTCAAGTGTACTATTAGTGTTTCTGTGCATTTTCTTCACACATGTATAAAATGTTTCTCTTCCACCCAATGGGAGAGTGTTTCGTTACATTAAGCTACTTTTATATACACTCCATTTTAAAATCTTTCACTTCCTAATCGGCTTGTTAATAATTTTTTAAATGCATTTTGTTGTTAATTGAGTGTAACCACATTGGAAAACTTGGACAAGCTACTATGTAGTCTGGTGGTAGAGTTACATGTGCTTTTAGCTACAAGTATAGGGTTCAATTCTTAGCCTTTACACACCAAACAAACTAAATTAGAAAAATTGGAAATAAATGTAACTTGCCATATACGTAATCTATTACCACATTTTAGATGTCCATTAAAAATTAAAATTGCAAGTAGGGTGCAAAATCTTTTACATGACTAAATTAACTATTTTTCAGTATAAGCAAATTTCAAACATACAATAAACAAATCTCCTACACATTTTTGCTCTGAGTTCAACAGACACCGGATATCCTCTGTTGTTGCAAAAACTAAAATTCAAACATTGAATTGTGAGTCACAAGTTAATATACTAGTCCTATTATAGAGAAACAACAGTTTTGGTATGGTATGAAATTTCTCAGTATTTAAACAATAGTTTTGATTTTCCATTTTCATTGTCTTTGAATCTTATCTTTCATATGTTACTTTTATGTGCCTTACTAATGATATAAATTTTGAGCAAATAATTCAATATTAAACTATTGTAACTAAATCTTATATGTATGTACATTGATTGGCAAGCTAATGCATTGATTTGAACCCCTCACCTTAATCTTGTAAATTATATCTAAGGTTTAAGTCTTGGGACCAGTACCCAAATTTAGTTTTTCTTGAATGCACTAGGCTGATGTGGAGGGTGTGCGAAAGCAGCCTGAGAACACCCTGACTGTCCAAACCAAAAAAAAAAAAAAAAAAAAAAAAA